AAACATCAGCAAAACGCTGAACTGCCCGGTTAAGGTGGAGAAGGCTTAGGGGACTCGCATCTGACGTGTGTGCTGTGCGGATTATGCCTCTGGTGTTACCTTGGAGCATTAATACTCCTTGCTTTGTTTTTACAGTGCAGTAACGACAGTGAAGAAGACATGTTCGGTGACTACGATGGCTTTGCTGGAAACGATTCTTTGCTGGCTCAAGTTGATGCCATAGAGCACAAATACATGCAGGATAAGAGTACAGCTGGTACAGCAGCTGGTGAAGCCAGTCTTGAGAATCTTCAGTCAGACGTTCACCAGCAAACACAGGGTCAGTCTGCTTCAGAAAACATGCCTGCCCTTAGAGCTGGCCAAGAGCAGCCTTTGGAAATGAATAGAAATGACCCAGTGGGCAGCAGTCCAGAACCAGCTGAATCTGCTTTGGACGACTTGCCATCATCCCAGCTGCTGTATTTTGACACAATGGATGAACTTTCTTCTGGTTCTAGGATATCTCCAGTCTTAGAAAGGACAAATTTGTGTGAGCATTCCTCCTCAGACAAAACCAGAAGTCCACCATCTTTTCATCCTGGTGCTGAACACAGGAACAGACCTGCTGACTTTTCTTCACACTCGAAGTGTGATCTACCTAAAACTGAGAGTCTTAAAGATCATCTGAAAAGTGCTATGACTGGAAATGCCAAAGCCCAGACTCTGCAGGTCTCCAAGACCAAGCAGCTTAAAGAAGCTGTTTTATCTGAAGAGATTTCTGTTGCTCAGAGAGCTATTGAATCCTCCTCCGTGGACAAAGGCCCTTTCTATGGGTTACCCAGCAAAGTCAAGGACCTGCTCAGACAGCTCCGGGGGATTGAAACGCTTTATGGTAATGGGGCTGATGCTTTCTTCAAAAAGAACTTCCTAGTGAAGTCTTGCCTGTTTTACCTGTTACAGGGGGAAAATATTTAAGGTAATAATTTTAGGTAATAGGCCATGTTGGGAGGTAATTGTTTTGTTTTGTTAAATGTTTATTTGGTTTTTTTAGGTGGGTGGGGACAGTTGGTATGGCTTGCAGAATGCTTTGGAAGGCTCAATCACCAAAAGCTTTCAGCATTTTATTGAAGACAAGCTTTCTAGCACGGGGCTTAATCTACTCCAGATGAAACCTGAGCATTTGGGTGTTCACTTGCCATGGGGGGTTGCTAACAGTTCCTGTATTGATTTTTGCAGAATGGCAGCACGAGTGCTTGACGTTAGAGTCTCTACAGCAGAGGAAGAATTTAATATACTCATTGCCAACCAGTGGGGGAAAAACACTGGTAGCTGAAATAATAATCCTCCAGGAGCTGCTCTGCAGGCAGAAGGATGTTCTGATGATCCTGCCATACGTTGCTATTGTCCAGGAAAAGGTCTGGGTACAGTTTGTGCTGCTTATGTGCCTTGTCACTGGGCTGCTTTAACCCTGGTTTTGGCAAGCTCTGTGATTTTTCACAGGCATTTTGTGGGAAAGTGAGTGACTTCTCTCCTAAGAGGGTCAGTCATTTATGACAGAACAGGCTTGGTGTGAAGCTGCTGGGACACACAGTGTGCTGAATACTGAAAGAGCATTTTGCAGTGCTGTGTGTGGCTCTGCAGCCTTAGAGCTGCACTGCCCAACTTGCTAAAGAGTGACCCTGAAATAAAAAGTAATATTTTTCTGTATAGAAAAAAGGTTAATTTTAGAGAACAGATACAACCCAAGCTTGATAATGTTTCTAAACACTTCAGCTTTCAGTTTTAGCAAGCAGTCCTAGCTAATGTGTCTGCACTGCCCAAAGGGCTGACTGTAGCATGGATTGATTCTGTGATTCTGTGACTGGTTTTCTGCACCCCGAGTTCTTGAGGCAGCTCTGAAATCCAAACTGAGCACGAGCCTCCTCTCTAATGGGTATTTTTTTTATCCAGGTTAGGGGTTTATCGAGTTTTGGGATAGAACTGGATTTCCTGGTTGAAGAATATGCAGGAAGTAAAGGAAGATTTCCACCCATCAAGAGGAGAGTAAAAAAGTCTCTCTATGTTGCTACCATAGAAAAGGGAAATGCTCTAGTGAATTCCCTGATTGAGACAGGAAGAATTGATGACCTTGGGCTTGTTGTAGTAGATGAGGTAAGTTGTCAGATTTACCAAGACAGAATATGCAATTAATTGGCAAAGAGCATTGTTTTAATGACTTGGGTTTGCTTGGGCTGTTTATCCTGTAGTTACTCTGTAAGGTTTTTTCTGCACTGTTGTGCAATTCTGTGACACTGATACAGTTGTTTCCCCTTATCTGTTGCTGTACCAGGATGATAGATCCTGTGCTGAGCTCCACTGTTAGGGGCTGATGGTGAATTCCTTAGTAACTACTTGACAGTTAGACATCTAAAATGGATTAGAGAGAACAGAAATCATTTTAATCACATGGAAAGCATTTGATGGATCCCAGAACTGAGTTCCTAAATATAAAACTGTCTTTGTGCCTGGTATTAATAACAACTAAATGAAATGTTAGAAATAAAAATACCAATATCTGACTGGGAGGATTTTCCCTTTATCCTCCTTTATATTGGTGTGGCTGAGTTGTGCTGCTGAGAGCTGACTGTAGGGCTGAATCATAGGTATAACATCTAACAAGGATTTTTAATTCATGGAATGCTTCAGAATTAAGCATAGATAAGATATTCTGAAGCATAAGATTCAGAATTGTGCCTTCACTTCAACACAGTACCCTCTAAACAGAAGGCAGCTTAAGAATCAACTTTTTCTGGAATTAGCTGCCTGCTAGAAATATTTTTATGTTAACTTCCAATGTAAATGCTGCTTAAAACACAATTTCTTTAAAATTGCTTTAGGCTGGTGAATACACAGGTCTCCTGTTGCTGTCAGGAGTTAACTGTGTCAGTTAGTGTGTAGTTAAGTGGAAGGTAAATCTTATTTCATTTGTCAGCTCTTGGGTCTGTTTTTCCATGAGTCTTAAATGTTGTTTCAGTGAGGGAACTTAGCAGTGAAACTTTATCAGAGGAGTGTCATAGCCAACAAAGAGGTTCCTGTAATATTTGTTTGGGACCACGTAATTGTTTGGAGTTTCTTTAGGACTAATCCTCATTTGGTGACATTCCTGCCTTTCCTCTTCCCCTTCTCTGCAGTTACATATGCTTGGTGAAGGGAGTCGTGGAGTGACACTGGAAATAACTCTTGCAAAAGTCCTTTACACTAGCAGTAAGTCATGGCTACAGTTAATGGTGTTAAAATATTCTAGTGGTGGCATCTCTAGAGAAAAGTGATACAACCACAGAGTGGTTTGGGTTGGAAGGAACCATCATCAGGCTGCTTAAAGCCCCATCCAGCCTGGTCTCAAACACATCCAGTGTTGGGATGTCTGCAGCTTCCCTGGGCAACATGTTCCAGTGTCTCACCACCCTCACAGTGAAGACCTTCCTCCTCATTTCTGGTTTAAATCTACCCTTTTCCAGTTTAAACCCATGACCCCTCATCATATTCACTGCATGCCCTTGCAGAAAGTAGCTCCCCAGGTTTCTTGTAGGCCCCTGCAGATACTGGAGGTCCTCAGTAAGGTCCCCCCAGAGCCTCCTCTTCTCCAGGCTGAACACCCCACCTCTCTCAGCCTGGCCTCACAGGAGAGGGGTTCCAGCCCTCAGATCACCTCTGTGAGCCTCCTGTGGACCTGCTTGAGCAGCTCCATGGCCCTGTTGTGTGGGGTTCCAGAGCTGGACACTTCAGCTCCCTGGATTCCTGGGTTCTGGCCATCTTGTAAAACCAGGGCAGGACTCCTGCAGCAGGAGTGTTCCCTCCCTCACACCTCAGCTCACCCTGTGGTGGGGGCTGTCTGCTTCTGAAGCTCTTTTGATACTACCTCTGAGAAACCTTGAGTATTGTCCAGTGCTTTCCATGCCTGCCCAGAGCCCCTCAGCCACTGCAGCTAAATGCCTCTGTAGGGAGGGATCCCTTTTTAAGCTTACATCCCAGGTCATGCTGCTCAGCTCTGTCCCCTTTCCAGCCAGCTCCTGGGACATGTAACAAGACTAATGCTGAAGAAGCAAGCTCATGAATTCAGTACTGAGCAGAAGTGTTGAAAGCTGTGAGCATGGCAGTGAATTATCTCAACTTGTGTTCCACAGAGGGCACACAGATCATTGGGATGAGTGCAACGCTGGCCAACGTGGGGGAGCTGCAGCAGTTCCTGCAGGCAGAGTTCTACACCAGCGACTTCCGCCCGGTCTGTGAACCAGATCCCAGGGACTGGGACACGAGTTCTTTGGCTTGACAACCATAGCAAACCTTTCTGGGACTGCCACAGCTTCCGTGCCTGATTTCACAGTGTAACATAGTAGAATGTCTGCCTCTGCCTGCAGCTGTACCAGTGCAACAAGCAGCACCACACACTGCATTAATCATAGAATCCTTTAGGTTGGA